CTACATTAGCTGTATTAACGCCTTCCTATGATACCACTTTGGCGTCCGGGGCGTCTGGGTTGCAGTCAGACATTCTTTCATCGATTCTCCCATCTAAAGCCGGTAGAGTCTTCATTGGCTTTCCCACTCATCAAACGACGGGTCTCAATGCCCACATATCTGCGCCGTCCGTTATTCCGACAGTCGAGCGGGAGAGCATTGATCTCAACACACGATACATCAGCAAATGGAACCTTGAGATGCTCAGAGCAGCAGGCATTGTTTGCCGAGTGGCCTGGTCTGCAGAGATGACCTCTATCAAGTCTAAGATACAACCAACGAAGTCATCGAAAATCCGAAAGGATGACATAGTTAGCGTACTTCCCGAAGCCATTCATACAGCGAATCAGTTCGTATTCCGTGAATCAACTCCCTCATCGGTCCTTGGTCAGACTATTGAAGATGCATTCTGGACGTGTAACAAGAATGCCTCTATTGAGGTTTTATCAACGTGTGGAATTATCCAAAGCCACCAGGCACGCATTGCTCCTAAAGATCTCAGTTTCATGGATTCCATTCCAGTTCTGCCAGATGACTTTGTATTAAATGCGAAGGACTTTGTCAGGAAGCTGACGGATTTTGGGCTTGTCACTGATATCACAGTGTCTGACATTAAACGTGAATTGGAAGCTAGCACGCTACAGTCTACTCAAGTCCCTGAATTCCTCTCTTGGCTAAGCCGAAGGGCTGTTTCAGGACAACTTGACTCTCTATCTGTCCAGAGTCTTTTAAACGTCGCAGTGGCAAATGATGAAGATAGCAGCGGTACTGTATGCAGGTTACTTGTCTTCGCAGACATAACCAACTATCTTAATCCTCAGCGGATACCAGTGGAACTGCCTTTGCCATCTTCCGTGATGCCTTTCAAGTACACCAAATCTCTAGGTAAGCAGGAACTAGAGTCTCTCGGCTGGACTGAACTGCAAATCGTCCCTTGGATTCACTGGATAGTGAGCAATGCCGGGAACCGGAGCGTTCTACCAATTGAACAAGACATTACACAGTCTTCGTCCTTCTCTGCTCAGGTTTTACCTGTTATCTCGAAGCAATGGGATGTTCTGAGCCAGCCGTCGAAACAGAGTGTGATCAACCTGTTGCAACCGCACACAGTCATGCCAACCAAGCTGGGTATGAAGCGGCCCGTAGAAACCTACTTTTCCTCAGTACGACTGTTCGATGACCTCCCCGTTATCAGAGGCCTTAATAGTGTCAAAGAAAAATTTCTGGCTGCTCTTGGCGTCCGTAAGACCGTTGATCTTGGGGTCATTTTTGAACGCCTGTTAAGTACAACAGAATCTTCAGATGGGGGCAGCATTAGCCAGAGAAAGTGGAGCCATGTCGATTTGATACGCTATCTTGCCTCCGTTCGTGATGACATACCCGCTAGCGATATCAAGAGGCTGAAGGACACCAGTATCTGTACTGCGGAGGTGACCGAAATCACCCATGATCCTACAAAAGACCGCCGCAAACGTTATAAGATATATGAGCTTTTCGAGCCACACGACCCACTCAGAGCTCTTGGACTTCCTGTGATTGAGTGGCCGGGCAAGTACCAGCCCAGCAGCAACGAGGGTAAATTTCTCTCCACGCTAGGCCTGAGGAGCTTCCCATCCCCATTCGAACTAATAAAAATTATGGCAAAGGCAGCGGCAGCCAAAGACTGGACTCTTCATGGGAAAGCTATGTCTTACTATATTGCCGAGTATCATAATAACGGTTACGCCGCGTTCAACTGCGAAGAAGTCACTGTTCCTTTTCTACCTATCGAAGGATCCGATAGTCTTAGCATTCCAAGTCAGTGCTTCACTGATAAATCTGCTACTTTATTTGGCTTTGAAATCTTACGGGATACCCTTCACCCTCATGCTCCCAAATTCGGAGTCAAACAGCATCCGCCACTAACTGAATGCCTGAATTGTCTACTTCGGCAGCCACCCTCTACTAAGCGGGACGCACGGGTGACTTTCAAATATTTAGCTGGGAGAGTATCGGAGCTTAAGCCGCGAGATATTGATCGAGTTAGCAACGCACAAATAGTGCCAGTCTCAGTAAATGCTACCCCCAACCATGAATCGAGTATACGCCGTGTAGCACCAAAGCTATGCTATCTTGGAGAGGGTGAAGATTACAGGGAGATCTTCGACTTTGTTGACTTTGGGCAAGAGGCCAACTTTTTTCTCATGGCAGTGGGTTCTAAGAGGGAACCGACTAAGATAGAAATTGCGTACATGTTGGTGAAAGAGCCGGCCAGGATATCCTCGACATTTCAAAGTGCAGACAAGTATCTCAAGTTACTGAGAACGCTTGCCGAAAATATCTCTGTGCTCAAGAAAGACCGGGGACTCCTTAACGAAATGAGATGCTCTGCATTCCTTTTAGCGAGTAGAGATATATCCTCTCTGACTCACGGGAATTCGGGAAAAGGCGGTCTTGGCTCTGAAGAAGATGATGACGAACAGAGCATAAAGGAGTGGACTTTGACTGCAGCGAAGGACACGGTGGTGGTGGATGATTTCCAGAGTTTCAATCTGTTCAAGGAACATATTCTCGCCGCGCCTCAGGAGGAAACACTAGAGAACTTTTATCTTGCTCTGGGTGCTGTACCGCTGAAAACCCTTGTTGAAGAACGTGCTCACTGGGGAGCAGTTGCCTCAGATCAACTGCCTGCAGCAAAATTACAGAAGTTGATTCATGAGCGCTCAAGACTCTTCCTCCACGATCAACCCGCTGAAACTATACAACACGACGTGAGGTGGCTGGAAAAGAACCTTCGAGTCCAAGTCGTCCATTCGATATCCCTCACCCGCTCCCTTAAAGGTCGTCGAGTTTCACATACCCAGAAGCGAAGTGCCATCATTACTCGGCAATCAACGTCCTGGGTCTTGTGGATCTCCCCAGGCAAATATGATCTTTATGAGATAAGTCAAGCTCTCGTTCACCTGATCCTTGTCCGGCCGAAGCTTCACTCGACTCTCACATTGGAAATGCTCCTCAAAACTGATCTGTTGGAGCTTAAGGCCCGTGGCTACAACGTTGAGCGCATTCTTAAGCAAAAGGCTCACGAGGCAAGGATGGCAGAGGATAGGCGTCAGAAGCAGTTGGAGGAGGAGCGACAACGGCTCCAGGAGAGGGAAGCTGCATGGGCGCAGGAACGGGCTCAAGCCCAGGTGGAAACAGAAGACAAACGACAACCTTTGATGCCTGGGGATTTCCCTGACTCGCCATCGCCATCCGGCAAGGATATCGGCCCCAGTTCACAGGGAGAAGCATTAGAGCAAAGCCAAGACCGGCGCCACGGGGTCTTTTCGCCAATTTAACCAAACGTTTTGGACTCGACAATGGTCGACCAACATGGAACCCCCTTGTTGGGGATTCATCCCAGCCATCCGCAGAGTCTTCAAATAACACCACCCCTCCTCCCCCATATTCGGCCGAAGACCCACAAAAATCTCGTACAGAACAGCCTGTGACCGTCAGCTCCCCGCATAGGCTTCAATCAGAGCTTCTTTCCGCAATCCAGGCTTGTCGACCTCATGGATCATCAGGCGTATACAGTCGCCCAGAAACGAACCAAGTCACTGAGTCTAAATCCTATTGTGATGAGAGACCCAGTCACGATCTAGAATTTGTGGCAACCCTTCCTTGCGGTATTCATGTACTCTTCGTGAAGACACTTGCAGATCGGTCCAACTTTCTTGCCAAGAACAGCGCCGGAATTAACATATTTGCTTCAATGCTCATTGATTGCGCTAGTGTCTTCTCCCTGCGTGCCGATATTCTCAGTGTCTTTTATGACCCAGGCGGAAAGACCATAGCGTTCAACCGGGCCGGTAGCATCTTCTGTAATTATTTCTACTTCCAGCAACTACATGAGAAAGAGCTGCTCCAAAGTCCGGCTGCCGACAGGAGCGAGGCGCTGGTATATTGGTGGGTGATACTTTGTCATGAACTAGCACATAACTTAGTGGGAGACCATAGCTCCGCCCATAGCTTCTACAGGTATGAAGAGCACCCTATACGATTATAGAGTTACCCCTGCTAATACCCTCTCCAGTGAAGGCTTCGTGGCTCAGTACTTCCCCAAAATCGCGACCAAGCTTGCCACCGCCAATATGCAAACGTCAGCGCTGAACTCATAGCTTCTTCGAAGCTGATCGGCTGGAGCTGCTGAAACATTTCCGACGATACATGACGGTGTCCTACCTAGTACAAGGCATGTTTTGTCTTTGATTCTCACGACAGGTATGCTTGCCAGACAAGCTCAAGCATTGATCATCAACCGATAATGTATAGATGAATAGCTGAAATACAAAACGATTTATTAAATTTTCATGGAAAGCACTTGCTCAGAGGTCTCTAAAGCCGTCATGGTCTGACAGGGAATATGAGCAGAAGAAGCTAGCTCGTGTGTGAAAGGGTGGGTAAACTAGGGCTTGGCTTTGCGTGGTGGAAGACCCATTTTATCCCGTTCTCCGTACGGGCACCCGATTTAGGTTTTCCGGTGTTTGCCGCTCCGTCCCTAGGTTTTATCTTATTTTTTAGGTAAATGTGATCAGATCAGGTCTGGCAAACCAAGTCTCTCAAAAACTTTAGACTCAACCAACTTCTTTCTCTTTCTTACCCTTCCTTTTCTTGCTTCCAAGGCTGTTGAATTATCATCAGATCTGTTTGTCAAAGATCTACTGACATTTTACACTATCTTGTTCGCTTGTGAGTCATGAATGTGGTGGTACACTGAAGAACTAAAGGACTCTTGGAGTATCGCCACTTTGGGTTTCTATATTCATTCCACTATGAACTTCTGTTGACCTCTAGTGCTCGAGTCACATCTCATACATTGTGCTTGTTGCTAGTCATTATCCACTCTTGTTTGACCCATATCTTGTATTCTCGTTGTCTTGGTCTTTACTCCCTGTTTTCTTTGTGAGGTTATAGAAGCTACAGTTCATCCATACGGTATGGCGCCTTTACTAGGCAGTTGGACCGCACCGTCTGCCGGTGGGCCCTCTAAAGCTCACCTCCATACGTCTCCCCAGAAGAACATTCTTTATGTTGATGCATATGATTCCTTTTCTTACAATGTGGTTGCTATGCTTGAAGAGGTTCTGGGTGTCAAGGTCACGGTGATAATGATTGACTCCGAGTGGCCAGGAGGGAACAAGACCGAGTTTCTGCAATGTTTCGAAGCTGTCGTCCTTGGGCCTGGGCCTGGAGATCCAAATGTTCCAGAAGATATCGGAATCATGAGGGATATCTGGGTTCTGAGTGACGCTGATTTGCTGCCTGTTTTTGGAATATGCCTTGGTTTTCAAAGTTTGTGTCTTCACCACAGCATTGCTATAGAGCGTTTACCATACCCACTTCATGGCCAGGTATATCGCATATCAACGGCCGAAAAGGACGTATTCGAGAACCTGCAAGATGTGGAGGTTACTCTCTATCATTCTCTATATGCAAAGTTGGACGATTCGCTTGAGGCAGCCTTGACCGAGTACAGTGGCGAGCAGATCAAGGCCAATGCCGACTTAGATCTTCTGGCTTGGCTGCCCATTGAACAAGATAACGTTTCTGGAAGGACTATCATTCCAATGGCGGTGCGCCATAGTGAAAAGCCGTTTTGGGGTGTTCAATTTCACCCAGAATCATGCAAGTCGGATCGTGCTGTGTGCAGTGAGCTACTAAAAAAGTGGTGGGAGTTGACCTTGGACTACAACAAGAAGCATGGGCGCGGCGGTTGTGGTAATTTGCCGGAGGACATTATCAGACGCCAAAGCGATGTGGCCTCACTTCCAGAGATAGCGTTGACCATGTTAAACTGGTGTGCGTCAACCTCAAGATCTTCAGCTTTCCGTTCACTCACTACCAGCAAGCTAAATGCTGAGTTTATATGTGAACATTTAAACGCGCCTGGGTCCCCAACAGTGTTATTTCAGTCCAACGGCAGGTATAGTATCATATCAGTTCCGGGCCCTACGAGCTGGAGATTAGAATACTATGCCCAGGCCGAGACTCTCCTAGTGGAAAGACTGCAGGCACATTCCAATGAGTACACAGACTGCAGTGTCAAGAAGTCTTTGTCGGTGCATGACTTGTGGGAGACGCTCAGATATCTCATGGACATGAAAAAGGTCGAGTCTGGAGATGATTCTGTGCCCTTTTGGGGAGGTTTTCTGGGCTATTTCTCGTATGAGATGGGACTCGCATGTCTTGCCCGGCCAAAGACTCACAGCGATGACCCCCATGGATCGTTGCCCCCTCAAAACTGTGCTGCCGCTCCTGATCCAGCAGATGTGAGTTTGCTGTGGTCCGAAAGAAGCGTCATCGTCGACAACGAAACAGGACGCATCACCATACAGTCAACGCGAAACGCTGATAATGTGTCGAATGGATGGCTTGATGAAACGTTGCAATATATAACAGAGCTTTCCCGTGCAGGCGTGCTTGAGAATGAGGACGTGAGCTTTGATACGGGTTATTTGGACACCGTTCTAAGGCAATGCGTGATACATTTCCCGGACGAGCAAACATACAAGAGGCAACTCGAAGCTTGTAAAGCTGAGCTTGAAGCTGGCGAATCATACGAATTGTGTCTTACTTGTGAAACATCAATTACCTTACCGTCGCCTAGCAAGGACAGCGAACGTATTGCTTTCCCTTGGGAGCTATACAAACGTCTTAGGAAGTACAATCCTGCAGCTTTCAGTGCGTACGCAAGATTGGGCACCGTCAAGGTTGTCAGTAGCAGCCCGGAATGTTTTCTCAATTGGGATCGCTCTTTCACGTTGGAAATGAAGCCAATGAAAGGCACCGTCCGAAAATCGGCCAGCATGACTATGAAGAAGGCCAAGGAGATACTAGGTTCAACAAAGGAAATGGCGGAGAATTTGATGATCGCCGATTTGATTCGCCATGACCTTTACGGTATCTGTGGTTCTGGCGGTGTGCATGTTGAGAAGCTCCTTGAGGTAGAGGACCACGGACGTGTCTACCAAATGATCACGCATGTGAAAGGAGATGTCGATCCGGGTCGTCCAGGTTTTGCCGTCCGAAACGTACCCCATCTACGTTCGTCAAACATGTCTGCGTACGGGCTTACAGCCCTACAGAGGTGTCTGCCTCCGGGCTCGATGACTGGCGCGCCTAAGGAGCGTTCATGCATGCATCTCAGCTTGATCGAAGCTCGGAAACGTGGGATTTATTCCGGTGTTATGGGCTTCCTCGACCTTGGGGGCGGAGGTAGTTTCTCAGTCCTTATACGAACGGCGTTCAGCTGTTCTGATGACAAGGACAATGAGCAGACATGGAGGATTGGGGCTGGAGGTGCTGTGACCATTCTAAGCACTGCTGACGGTGAATGGAACGAGATGCTGACCAAGCTTACCACTGTCTGTGGTGTCTTCGCGCCGTCCGATCTACAGGGTTCAGGCAAGGTGTAAAATGGCATGACCACTTTCCTCCTCCCTTGTTGTTCTTGTTCTTCTTCTTCTTCTTCTTCCTTCTCTTTATTTATTTTACCTTGATTCTTGCCGAAGCTACATCTTCAGGTACATATTCAACAACACTTATATTCAACAGTTGCGGGTTTAGATCATAGGGATCGGATTCAACATTGAGCGTTGGGGTTCAGAGGCGTTTAGCTATTCACAAGGTTTTTACTATATAGCATCTTTGGTAGATTTCATCAGTCCAAAAAAAAAAAAAAAAAAAATACCCTGCTTCTTGCTTGCTTGGTTTATACTAGGGTTACGCATGAGCCTGCCAACTTAGCGCGGATAGAACCCCTGTTGAATACACAGTGCAAACAAGTCAAACATAGCTTTTAATCTCCGCGGAGGGTAATACATCATAGCCTCCATTGCACTTAGATATACACTTTCTGGCCCTGAGGTGTACACTCTACCATTTGCGCTCCTGGCTGTTGTTGTGTAGGTTGGGATCTCTCTTACAGCTGTCAACAATCGCGATTGACTTCATGGCGAGTGCCCAAGATGGCTCAATGGAGGAGATCCTCTGGCGGTCGCCCGCGCACGTCCAAATGATGGGAGGTTTTCTCCATTCCAACAATAGTGAGCAGACTTCCCTTTCCGACCTTTTTATATTTTTCCTTTTCACCTTTAATGCACTCTCTAATCAATGGATAGTCTTATTTTACTTCGCCGAATCTCCATTCTTCGATGCTACGTCTAACAATGCCTCTCTTGCCATCCAAGCCAACTACAATGAAACACTTCGCCATTTTGTTGAGACTCGGGAGGCCTTCGAAGGCCGCCTGAAGACCATGCAGGGGTTAGAGTTTGTGGTTGCTTATGACCCTTTGCAGGCTGCTGCACAAAGCGAGACCAGTTTCGCACATGAACCATCTAATACCTGGGTGATCCGGAAACAGACGAGACGGAAGCGAGCCGGGCAAGATGATGAAGTGGTAGTTCTATCTACTTACTTCGTAGTGGGAGATTGCATTTACATGGCCCCGTCTGTTGCAAGTGTCGTGGGGAATAGACTTGTACGCAAAAATAAAGTCCTCTGTATATGATCCAGCGACTGACATTCCACGTCACAATAGCTTTCTGCGGTTACATCACTCACGAGTCTCTTAAAGACTGCATCGTCACTGCCTAGTTTCACACCGTCACATGGACACACGTACATGCCGCCCGTACCCAAACCGACGGATAGCAGTCAGCCCGGGACTCAATCTCAGCAAAGCAAGGAGAACACTCCAATGCCCGACGCGGACTCCACGAAAGCTCTCTTGGTTGGGCCACAAACCGCCAATGCTGGGGCAGTTTTGCAGGACACGAGGACTTTCGCGGAATCGTTCAGTCTTCTTGCACGATATGGCGAAGAGTTTATGGATGAAAATCCCCTGGTCGGAGAGCCGGGATCATTTATCCTATCCAAATCTGGCGATACAGATCGAGGGGCTGTTTCCAAACAACCACCGAATGTTAGCGCCCAGGGAGCATCCTTGGAACGCCTCAAGTCAAGGTCGACACGCCTGGCAAAACATCCGAGAAAGGAGCCACTCCGTCGGCCTTCGATGATAACAAGGTGCGAAAGAAGAAGGCCAAGATTGGGAGTTGAAAGAACCAGCCCGAAAATTCATGATACCCTTGTTTTGATAACCTTAGGAACATGGTAATGTACATTCCATGGATCCGTCTACAGTACACTACTGATGTAAGGATTGTAAGTAGAGTAGGTATCAACCCGTAGCTAGGGCGCGGTTTTCCCAAATCTAGTAAGTGAGCCAAATTTAAGATCCGCCTGCCTGGGTCGATGGCATACAGAATTGTGGTGGAAGAGAGCGCGACCAGCCAACGTTTCAATGGTTCCGATGTAGAGATGTAACATAAAATGATGAACTTCACCTGTGGTGACTCATTGAACGCCATGAATCCTCTGTCTTAGCTCCCTTACATACTCCAGAGTCCTTATTCTTCCTTGAAATACTGTACCGATATATATACAAAGGTATTAATTAGTTCTAGCGGGGGCTCCGCTCAAGAATCTTTGCGTACCTCTTTGTCGTTTTTCCTTGTCTTCCCTTGGCTATACAGGATTGATAAAATTTTACGTTTTCCCTATACAATCGATACATTTTTCATATATATAGA